TAGTTCTACCTTAAGCATAAAGCCAACTGAGTGACCAGTCACTCTCTCTCAGCCCTAGGAAGTAGGTAATGGCAAATCACTTCTGAAGAAACTTGCCAGGAAATTGCAGGGTCAAATCCAGGCAGTCACCATGAGTCAATATTGACTTGCAAAGACATGTGCACGCATGCGCATGCACGCACACCCATCCACATACAGAAGTCAAAAGCAGATTTTATACTAAAAATCAAAGAGCTCTATTTAGCAGAATGAAGAAAAAATGAGGCCACTAAATGTAGTAGGAGTGAAACAACATAATTTAAAACACTCATCTAAAAAATATTAGCTCAGCCCCTTTATGACTATTAACTCCAAATCTAAAATTATCTAACAATATCAAGGTGTATTATCTACTTATTTATCCATTATAGTTAGATATTTCCATGAAGTAACTTACACAATTCATCTTATCTTCATCAAAACTTTATGATTCAAGAGAGGAAAGGAAACACCCTATGAGCTTTGTAGCTAATTAGAGATTTGGATCTTTCTAAGTCTATCCCTTATACCTCTTGCACTGTGTTATCTCAAGCCCTTGAATTTATTCAAGGAAACAAAGGCCTTTGTTATCAGGTGCATGAAATAAATTGAAAATATAGCAGGTGTGAAGATACAGAGGACAATGTTGCTATAGATCACTTTAACATTAATTGGGAAAGTGGGGAAAAGGTATCAAAAGACTTCCTGATTAATTTGAGTGCTTCAGCTGTCAGAGATATACTGAGCAGCCCTAGGAAATAAATTAAGTTATATTATGCTTTATTCAAATGTTTTTATTAGTTTATCAAAATATAAGATACAGAAATGCAAGAAAAATGAAGATAATGGGAAAATAAGGGAGGAGAAAGGGAAGAGAAAAAAGTGTAGCGGAAAGGGGAAAAGGAAAAAAAAAAGCATTGACTTCTGACTCTTTTTGGTGCAGTAGAATAAGATAGTAATATAAAATCTCAGCATTTTACTTTTATATAATATATCTTAGTCACTTCTATAAATCTAATCAGTAAATCCAAAATCAAATTTCATTTTTTTTACGTCCAAAAGTGGTTTCCAAGTAGAAACAAATTAATTGTATTCTTTTCTTTCTAGCCATCTCTGCTAATTCCATCAATTTTTGCAGCTACTCATCCATTGTGGGAATCAAAATATCCTTCCATTTTTTGTGCATAAAGTATTCTTGCTGCTGTCAGCATATATAACATCAAAGTTCCAGGCTTTTTTAAAGTTCTTTATGCATTAAGCCTAAAAATAAGGTCTCTGGTTTTATCTTTCTATTCACTTTAAGAATCTTCTGTATTAAGATGTGAAACTTACTCCAATATTTCTTTGCTTTGTCACACGTCCACCATAAATGGTAAAAAGTTCCCTCTTTACATTTATATTTCCAACATTCATATTTGTGATACCTTTATACATTCTTGACCATTTCTCTGGTGTTAGATACCAACAATACATCATCTTATAAAATTTTCTTTTAAGTTATAGTTTAATATGAATTTTAGACCTTTTGTCCACATATTTTCCCATTGTTCAAGCATATGTGCATAATTCTTTGTCCACTTATATATAATGTTTTTACATACTCATTTTCCAAGTTCAATTTCAATAACAATTTATAAACCTTAGCAATAATATGTTCATTGCTATTACGCAATAGGATTTCCAATTCATTCTTCACAAAATCAAATCTACAGCTTTTTAAATCTAATTTAAATCTTTCTTTAAAAGGTAAATATGCAAACCAATGACAAACATGTACTTCTGATTCTAACTCCTCTTTAGATTTGAGGACAGAGTCATCATAATTTAAAGATATTATTTGACCATGAGTCAACCAGTATGGCCTCACCACTATTTCTTTTCCAAACAAAGCTTCTAAGGCAACACCCAAAGGGGCATCTTCGCAGAGAAAAAATATATTGTACTTTGAACAAAAGAAAGAAAGCTTGTATGTTCCACATTTAATTCTCACTCAGACCATCCTCCACTCCGCTCCATTCTCTTTGAAAGTTATTACTCCCAATGTAACAACCTTTAAAAGGGGAGCTTGAAATAGATCCAGAAGGGCTTCTTTAAGGTCTCATGTTTAATCTCCAATTATAGTTTGTTCCTTCAAGCAGGGGACCATTTCAGTCTCCAGATGAATAGCTGTAAGTCCATGGAATAGAAGAGTTTGTCACAAATCATCGAAACTAACAGGGCCTTTCTCCACTTGTTTCTAACTATGACTTTTTTTCTGCTACTAGCTGCTTTATCTTCACTTCATTGTCATGAGCTGTTTCTAGGTGTACCATTGCCCAAAGTAGTATTTCTCCCATTAAACTGACAGTATCCAACAACAGCCAAAAGCTATGAAATATCTTTATGCTTTGTCAGGCATTATGTCAGAATCAGATGATTAGAGAAGCGCTTATTGGCAGTTTCAGCTCATAGTCACATCTTTGGTCCTTGCATTGCCTTCTCAATGTGATGTGCCCAGTTCTTTGAGAAGGCAATGCAAGAATAACAGCATCTGAAGCTGACCAAGGACCAAAGATGTGACTATGAGCTGAAACTGTCAATAAGCACTTCTTTAAACATCTGACTCCACTTCTGACATGATGCCCGATAAAGCACAGAAGATATTTGCTGATTTCTTTTGAATCTGCACAAGAGCAATAGAGCTATATTTTCTAGCACAGCACAGGGATCCGCCTTTATATAATTGCATGTAAAAGCTTCCCTATCAGATACACACATGTGCCATTTCACATCCACTACAGTAGTGATGGCAACAATCAGTAGCTAGTAAATTAAAATAGTGGTATAGCAAAATTGTGCAATAGTTCAATTGACAGGATAGTAAGTACTTTGACCCTATGTCTTTGCTGTTTCAGGACAAGGCAGCATAGCATAATAGTGGGATGATATGACTAACCCCGCACTTCCCAATTGCTTTTTGGACAAAATGTGGAGGTACCTGGAAGTTGGCATTTGTTGCCGAATCCTAAATAAAATGCTGCCTGTGACTCACTATCGTTGCAACTCCAATCATTTTTTTTATTCAATTCAGAACTAAGTATAAGAGCAGTGGCATGGGAAGAAGCATAACAATGATGCACACAACTTACAGTCAGACTTGCTCTATTCTTAGTGCAGCATTATGATTACTGGTGACAAGCTTAGAGAAACAGTAAAACAAGTAATCAATCAATCATTTTGCTTATCATGTGCTACATAAAACAGCACTATTCAACAGTAAACCAGAACTGCTGGCAGACTAACAATCTGCAGTGGAGGCAATGAATTTCATAGCAGTATAGTTTTCTGCAAACCCAATGGATAGTATTTTAATTCACTAGAGGGGAAAAATCCATAACAGTGACCAATAACTCCATCCCTCACAAATTGGATTAGTCTTTTTTTAAAACCATCTAAATGGGTAACTTAATGAAATCTGATCCTGGCAAACTCAATTATTTAACTTTATGTTGCATCAATAAGTACTTCCTTTTACCAGTTCTTAATCTTTCCTTAATTTTAGCAGGCAACCTGAATTCTAGTGTTGTAAGAAATGGAAAACGAACCTGTCTCTTTTCATCATGCAAGATTTTACAAATTGCTTTTATGTCACCTCTTACTTTTCTTCACAAAAATCTCATCATTTTGATTCTATTGCAAGCAAACACATGCTTAAGAAGAATCCACATCCAGGGCAAGATTGAATTAACATTCTCCCTCTTCCATAATTTCATTTTGGAGCAACTGCCCAGATGCCAAGACCTATCCTTTATTTCCTCCAATGCCTGGCCCAACATATGGGCCTAATTTACTTTCCCAAATTTTCAGCCAGCATATAAACCAAAATGAAAGTGAGAGTTTGGCCAAATATTTGTTTATAACAAATTTTCTTTGACATTTTGATTAGTCCTAGTGAAATATATCTCTAATTCCCTTGATTCTTCCTTGTGATTCAACACAACTACCTCAGATTTTGTCTGGTTTGGGATATTTTTATGTTTGTTTCATTTTTGGAATAGCTATATCAGCCAGATGTTATATAATTTTAAATTGTGTTAATTACAGTTTGCTGTTTTACTGCACATTGAATAAGTGTAGAAGTTATACCATATGGATAGCAACAATAAATTATAATTGATTGATATAAACTAGGCAGATTTTTCTATTCCCCTCCCCCGTAAAGATTTGTTTATTCGCTGCTTCAACCAAAAGGTGGCGCTGATGACGTTTTTATCTGTCAATCGTTAGATAATAGGCTTTTAAGCGAACGCAATATTCCTCCTCCTTTTTTCTTTTCTTCTTTTTTCCCTCTCTCCATTGCCCCATATTGGACAATAAACAAGAGAGGAAAAAACGAAAGAGAGAGAAAGAAGGAGAAAAGGAGAAAAGTGTTACCGTACTTTAGATGCTAACTCCGTCTCCCCCTCCTTGAGGGACCCGGAAAAAGAAACAAATAGCACCCCCCTCCCTTCAGTATGGTCACAGAAAAGCGGGTCGCGGTGTGCAAATGAGAGAAAAAGGCAGCAATAAAACCGAATAAAGCTCCCACACGCTCCAGCGCGCTCCGGCTCCCCCGAACCTAAGACTTCTGAGCCATAATTGCTGCGCTGTCGGCTGCAAGCAGCCAGGGCGACGTTGTGTGCGTGTGTGCGCGCGTGAGCGTCGGGTGTCGGTGAGTGTGTCTGTGTGCCTGGGGACCAGCCACCGCGTCTGCCCGAGCTCAGCGCCAGAGATGCCGCCAAGCTCTCTTTTGCAAATAACAATGTGGCATTTTCGTCCGGGGGGGAGGCGTCCGAGCCTTCTGCCTTCTTCCCCGTCATAGCGGATTGTGGGGGGGCATATCTTTTACATATCAAGGCGGGTCGGGGGAGGAGAGAAGGCCCGAGATCAAGAAGAGGAAGAAAAGGACGAGGACTAAATGCGTGCTTGGAAACAGCGGTGCCAGCAGTAACACAACAAGGGGGTGGGGGGGGGGGGAAATCAGCAAAAAAGAAACTTATGGAAGAATGAAGGAGATGGTGGGCGGCTGCTGCGTCTGTTCTGATGAACGCGGCTGGGCAGAAAACCCTCTGGTCTACTGTGATGGGCATGGCTGTAACGTGGCGGTGCATCAAGGTAAGACCCCCCACCTAGCCTTTCCTCCTCGCGGATACCTTGGTCAACACCCCCTCCCGTTCCCCGCCAAACCCGGACTCGCCTTCTAACTCTCCGGGCGCTTGCCAGAAGTGGCTTGGAGATCTGGAAAAAGACCGTGGGGGATTAACCGGGACCACCTCCTCCCGCACTGATTGCCTCCCTAAAACCTTCGCAAGCTTTCAGTAAAATAAAAAAGCGGCGGGATTGGTTTTCGACATGGTGGAAGAAGAGTTGGAGGCGGGCTAAAACGTACATCATCATCGCCGCCACCACCACCACCACCATCATCATCATTGTTATTGTTGTTGTAACCGTGCATTGAAGGAATTCTAGCGCCTTTTGTTTAGTCGGGTACACTTGACAGGGAAGAGGGAGACGGATGCAATGCTGAGAAAAAAAAAAGAAAAAGAAAGAAAGAAAAGAAAGAAAGATTTGACGAAAAGGGTTAAACGTGTGGTAGCCTGTTTATGTTGGCTATGAAAAGCATGATTTTAGCCTTTCCTTCTCCATTGACTATATGAGTCTGTCTATGTAGTTGCACGTAATTGTTGCTTTGTTTCGCTTTCCTATTAATTTTTAATTGCACACCATATAAAGGGGGTGAAGATGAGATACATCTGAATGCCAACAGACTCCAGAAGCAACTGAAACGTCAGTTGTAATGGATGTTGTAAAAAAAAATATATATTATTTGACGTAGATTCAGAATGGCAGTGACCTCTGACTGTCTCCCTCGGCTTCCTTCCGGATTAGCTGAGTTTCTATTATTAGCTGTCCTGTAACATTGGGGATTTTTTATTGTTTATTTTAATGTTGTGGGTGGGGAGGGGGAGGGGAGACTTTTTTGGTCTGCAATTGCAAGGTAAGTGAAGCAAAACAGAAGGTCCCCAGGACCAACTTTGGAATGTTCTTTGCAAAGCCACCCAGTGTAAAGAAAGCTGAAATGTGTGTGTGTGTGTGTGTGAGACAGAGAGAGAGAGAGAGAGAGACAGACAGACAGACAGACAGACAGACAGAAGAACATTCTCTTATTACCACTTTCTAGTTACCTGTAGTAGATCATTAATCTTGGACATATAAAGACTAAGGTGGAAATACCTCAGTTACACCCTGCCTCAGATCTAGGTTTATTGCTGTAGCCTCTCATCTAAGATTAGCTGTTGAAAGGAGAATGAGCAGAGTTTAGAATTCTTTGCTAAGGTGAATAATCATTTCAAAAGAGAAGTTTTCACTTGGTCATGTACTGGACTTTAGTTTTGTGGCACGTCAGCTCTTCTAGAACATTCATTCCCATGGCAGAATAATTGGGGCTTCCTTAGTCCCTAGTCTCCAAACTTTATCAATAATAGCTGAAATTTAACTTCTGTGGATATTCTCCCTGCCCACAGATACTATCTTCACTTGGCAGGACTTGTTTGTTTAGACAGACTTTTGAAGTTTCCTGGAAATTGGAGGAGGTGCCCAAACAGAATTCAATTCTTTTTTCCCCCCTATTATAAATCTTATAATAAATTTATATAACCTGATTTTATAACTGACATCTTTCCTTTTAAAAAGGAAATAGCTGTGACAGGAGTTGGCAGTATCTAATCAACTGGCTGATCTGGAAAAAATTAAAGTGTTGCTAGATGGGAGACCACCAGAACATTCCAGGGCTGAGGGTTAGACAGAATAATTGGGGGGGGGGGAGAATCCCAGAAAAACATAATAGCAAATATTCATACAGGTAGTCCTCAACTTACAACAGTTTATTTAGTGACCATTGGAAGTTACAACTGCACTGAAAAAAGTGACTTATGACCGTTTTCATACCTACGACCTTTGCAGCATCCCTGTGGTTGTGTGATCAAAATTCAGACGTTTGCAACTGACTCATATTTATAATAGTTGCAATGTCCCAGGGTCATGTGATCGACTTTGGCAACCTTGTGACAAGCAAAGTCAATGGGGAAGCTGGATTCACATAACAACCACGTTCCTAACTTAACAACTGCTGTGATTTATTTAACAATTGGCAAGAAAGGTCAAAAATGGGGCAAAGCTCATTTAACAAATGTTTCACTTAGTTTGGCTTTATTGTGGTTGTAAGTCAAGGACTATCTGTATTGTGCAAATACCACAGTATTTATATATGCATGTAATTACATGGAGTCAAGCTTGACTTCAGTGGGCATGTCAACTATTATCTAACTTGATCAATGGTCTGTGGAACACCAGTATCAGTGGAGTTCACCAAGTGGTCCACCACAACCTTATTACATTTGCCACCACTAAAACATTCAGAACCTGTTAAGCAGCTTAATTCTGCTTCTCTGCCTTCTGACCATCAGCTGATTTGCAAAAATGGATCACTGGCCAAAAACTTGTTTATGGTGATGCATATGTGATAATACATACATAGTGAGTACTTCAATTCAGAAAACTGGCAATAGTGAAACAGAAATTGGATATAGTTACTGACTCAAGTCTTACGCAAGTAACATAGCCAAAAAGAATGAATTAGAAACTCAATAGTTAATATCAAACATAGGACTTTAGTAAAGACTTCTTCTTGGTCCTCTAATGCTCAATAGATTTCTGTTGAAGAACATTGTTGACAAGTAAGCATGAGTTGTTACAATGGTATGGAGTACTTAATGCTTAATTTTGAATTAATGTTTAGTACAACGTTTAGTTTAAAAATCCTGAGCTTTAAAGACAAAAATGTAGGGGTATGTGTTTAATTTGGTGTTTCCTGCATTTTCCAAATATTTATCTAGTTCTGAACAGCAGAAAGTTTTGGGTATACTGATCTAGATAAACAATGAATGACACTTTGTTCATATTACCGTATTTTCTGGCGTATAAGATGACTTTCTAAACCATGAAAATCTTCTCAAAAGCTGGAGGTCGTCTCCAGAAAATACCGTATTTTCTGGCGTATAAGACGACTTTCTAAACCAGTGGTTCTCAACTTGTGGGTTGCGACCCTTTTGGGGGGTGTCGAACGACGCTTTCACAGGGGTCACCTAAGACCATCGGAAAACACATATTTCTGATGGTCTTAGAAACCGAGACACCGCTCCTCTATCCAGCCGCCGCTGCCCTCCTTCTCTTCTGCTGGCTCCTCCGCCTCCAGGGCGCCCTTCTCCAACAGTGCCTGCTCCTGCCACTGCAGCGCCATCGCACGCACCCCCGACGCTGCCCTGGGCTGGCTCAGCAGCTGGTCCGAGCCGAGCCAGGTCTTGGCCGCTGCTGGTGCTGCCGCTGAGCTGCTCTGCTGCTGCTGGCTGAGCCGTCTCCACATCTCCTGGTTGCCCAGCTGCGCTCCGCCCCTGGACGTCCTCCGCGCCGCACGGGAGCCTCCCCTCCACTGCCCGGCCAGCCTCCCTTGCCGTCAGAGGCCACCTTGGCCCTCTGGCGCCTGGCGCAGCCGTGGGGGCTGCCGGGCAGGAGTGGCCCCTTCCCGGCTCGCCGGGCTCTGGGCCTTGGAAGCGGCCAGGGGGTGAGGAAGAGGGTGAGGTGTTGGAGGCCAGGGAGGGGAGAAGCGGTGCCTTCCGAGCAGGAGCTGGCGCTCCGACCACGCCTCTCTTGCGTGCGATGGGCTGCGCGGCGTGGAAAAGGGCTCCCATGACCCCCACTGCTGCGATGGTGCTCAGGAGGCTGGAGGGGTGGGCAGGTCCCGGGGAGGCGGCTGAGAGAGGGCAAGAGGTGCCGAGATGAGGATTGGGGGCTCCAGGTTGGCGGGTGTGAGAGGGCAGCCGGCAGCTCTGAGGCGTGCGGATCCTCCGTGCAGCTTCCGAGGCCCTGGATGTTCTCCACCAGGCTCTCCACCAGAGCCTCCCCCCCTCTCTGGGCAATTGTGCAGAGCTGCTTGTGCGTCCTTGGCAGTGCCTCCCCCTTCAATCTCCTTCCTTCTCCATCTCCTTCCTTTCCCCTTCAATCTTCCTTCCTTCCTTCCATCTCCAACTCCATCCCTTCCCCTTCAATCTCCCTCTCCTTCCTTCCTTCCTCCTTCCTTCCTTCCTTCCTTCCTTCCTTCCTTCCTTCCTTCCTTCCTTCCTTCCTTCCCCTTTCAATCTCCTTCCTTCTCCATCTCCTTCCTTTCCCCTTCAATCTTCCTTCCTTCCTTCCTTCCATCTCCATCTCCATCCCTTGGCGGGTGTGAGAGGGCGGCCGGCGGCTCCAAAGCACACGGATCCTCCGTGCAGCTTCTGAGGCCCCGGATGTGCCACCACTTGGCTCTCCACCAGGCTCTCCGCCAGATCCTCCCCCTCCCTCCACGGGCAATTGTGCGGAGCTGCTTGTGCATCCTTGGCAGCGCCTCCCCTTCAATCTCTCTCTCCTTCCTTCCTTCCTTCCTTCCCCCTTCAATCTCCTTCCTTCTCCATCTCCATCCTTTTCCCTTCAATCTTCCTTCCTTCCTTCCTTCCTTCCATCACCATCCCTTCCCCTTCAATCTCTCTCTCCTTCCTTCCCCTTCAATCTTTCTCTCCTTCCTTCCTTCCTTCCTTCCTTCCTTCCTTCCTTCCTTCCTTCCTTCCTTCCTTCCCCTTTCAATCTCCTTCCTTCTCCATCTCCTTTCTTTCCCCTTCAATCTTCCTTCCTTCTTCCATCTCCATTCCTTCCTCTTCAATCTCTCTCTCCTTCCTTCCTTCCTTCCTTCCTTCCTTCCTTCCTTCCTTCCTTCCTTCCTTCTTTCCCCTTTCAATCTCCTTCCTTCTCCATCTCCTTTCTTTCCCCTTCAATCTTCCTTCCTTCTTCCATCTCCATTCCTTCCTCTTCAATCTCTCTCTCCTTCCTTCCTTCCTTCCTTCCTTCCTTCTTTCCCCCTTCAATCTTCCTTCCTTCTTCCATCTCCATTCCTTCCTCTTCAATCTCTCTCTCCTTCCTTCCTTCCTTCCTTCCTTCCTTCCTTCCATCTCCATCTCTTCCCCTTCAATCTCTCTCTCCTTTCTTCCTTCCTTCCCCCTTCAATCTCCTTCCTTCTCCATCTCCTT